ACATGCACCTATCGATTCAGAGGGGAAAAACACTTGCTCTTCTTGAAAACAACAAACCTGCACCACACAGCCAGAAACAATGGCCTTATGTGCACTGAAATTTGAGCAACAAAAGTGAATTAATTCAGGGAACAATCTGAGTTTAGCTCAGCAGTTAATCACCCTTGAAGCTGATTTCATCAGGTCTCAGCAGCTCATAAAGATGGGCCTTGAAACTTGGAAGGCTCTATGATACATCAGGTTGCTGCTGGAAGAGGTGCTAGTGTACCAATAGGTGTCTCTCTTCCCTCTGGACTAGCAACATATTTGGTATTTGAGTACTGTATATGACAGCAATACAAACGCTATAATATTATTTCTCTTGCATTATGATAAGTTATAGATAGGTATAAATCACAGTACAGTTTTACGACTAAAAATGACCAAATTAAACGCAAGGCAAACACTATATCAGCATGGTTCCGAATGAGGAAGCAATTTGGCTCATTTGGCCTATCAGTCTTATTTGTTCTGTTTTAATCACATAATCAGTGTTGGTCCAACTGGGAACAACCCCGTTGTTGCTCAGGGAGAAATTAAAGGAGCCATAATCTGCCTGTTTGAAGGAGGAGGGGAGGAAATTGAAGCACCTAGCGGAAAACCGCATAAACACAGGGCATGCAGACTCCGAGCAAACAGGCATCAAAAGCAGGAATTGAAACCCAGGCCCTTCAAAGCAGCTGTGCTAACCACCTCACCCCAGTGCTTCCCAAAAATATCCATGCATTGAAGTCGAATAGCAGCGCTGCAAAAAGTAGAGGCGAGGCAGGATTGCATTGGATTTGAGGACGTGGCGGAACATGGTGAGAGAAAAGTAAATCCTGACATTTCTGGTTAAAGTGCTTCGCCAAAAGGGGCAAGGGAGCCTGCTAAGTGTACAGTACTGTACAAGGGAGATTCCTGAACAAGGAGTAGGAATGACTAATCTACCAGAAAAGATTCAGCCTGATCCACCATGGTGACAAGTGAAACTACTGCACATTGCAACCAGATCCTCTGTTTTGGAAAACACGTTGAATTCTCATGTTGTTCACTCTGTGGATCTTCAAGAAATGATGGACTGTTTCACAGGAGCAGAGTTTTTAATCCCTGTGCAATATATTGGCAAAATCCCGAAACATTTATAAATATGGCCTGCCTAAAACCCTGGTAACTTAATTTGGGTCAAAGTCTGTTTAACTCCCCCAACACCCTTCATCTTGATGTATGATTGCTTGCTCAGCTTGTTTCGTGGCTTGTTTCATTGTGCTTTGGGACCTTCGTTGTTGCTGGCTGCTGAGTTAATTTCGCTGCATGCAGAATACCTAGTGGTGCAGCGGTGGTGCAACAGGATGTAAAATCAAAGCCCTTAATGCAGACGTCAACTTACCACAAGCACCACAGCACCTCACATGAAGAGCAGTTTCTCTCTGAGTCATGTGCAACATATCTCAGACTGTTTTCAACCGTGAATGGTAAGACAACATTCTTATTGCTGCAATGTTCCTGTAATCAATAAAAATCATTAATATAAGAAGAGAAGAGCTAACACAACTTCTTTTCTAGTTTCCTTTGTGTCAGTGAGAAGTTCTGCATGTTTGCATTTTGGGAATTTGGACATTTTAAGTGGAACAGAATGTGTTGTTTTTGTTACCTTGAGTAACATAAAGTATCTTCACAGCATTATCTTATAGACTGTAGCATTCTGTGATTTGCTTTCTGTGCGGTATTTGTTTTAGAATTCTATTCTTCAAAAGGATCTGACTTTTACTCATGTTGCTGATCTGCTCTCATGGTAACTGGTCTATAAGGGCAACTCTTGTAAAAAGGCTGATAGACTACATTGAAACATGTGACTCTAATAAACTCAGAATACCTCAGGAATACTGATCAACAAAAGACTGTTTAAAACCTTATTTTTTTAAAGAAAGGACTTATACGGCAATTAAATCTAGCAGAGATGTATGCATCAGCTCAAATTGGATTTATCCCTTTGCTTGTTGATAAATATATTCTTATGAGTCAAGGTTTGGGGTTGACCAAATCAGCAGGTGGGGTGCAGATATGCACAGCAATTTAATGTTGTATACCACAGGCCAATCTATAGGGAACTTGAAGTAAGATGGGGTGGGCTAAAGTGTCTAATTAATTATCATGTTGAGCTAGTTACAGATCTCCACATTTTACTAATTGATGGCAAACTTACTATGTGGTGCCCTACCGATCAAATCCTGAGACCCCACCTGCTGCTGCTCCTGTGAACTGAACTCATCCTGATGTGAGAATACTCCAGTAAAACTAGAGACATCCCAATGCTGCTTGTATAGCAATGGCTTTCTTGCGAGATGAGAATGTGAGAATTAATGTGGTGGAAGTTCCTGCTCACCAGATTTGAGCCTTATTGAACGTCTGTGGGATGGGTTTATGATGACGCAAGGCAATAGGGTCTAAAGACCAGCGAAAAAGCACATGCTTGGCCAGGCTTTATGAAAGGAATGGGTCAGAATCCCACAACACCACATCTGCAATAGAGTTGCAAAGCGTGCATCACAGATGTACAGCTTGTATTGCTTCCAACTGTGGATCCCCTGTTGATCCACCCTGTTGACAAAAAATGTTAATCAGCATAATTTATCTAGATCATGCCTGCTCAATAAAGAGTCAGAGCACATTCGGGGATTCCGTTTCCTATAAAAAGGCTGATATTATGAACAGTTGTGCAGTAATGGAAAAATTAATGTACAGCACGCACTCCTAACTCTTCAGTCCAGAATAATTTAATTCACATTGGTACGATTACTGCAATAATACTTCAGTATGTATATTTAAATGCTAACATGTACTTGCATACTTCATCTGAAAATTCTTCTCTGCCTTTTCACATGTATTACATGAAAAAACGGATTAACAAAATATATATATTTTTTTTAAAAATCAGTTGGAAGCTTAATCTTTTAATAAAGTTTATTCAATAAAATTGATGAGAAAATGGAGTACGTTGTTAACAAGAATTTTCAGAAGCTGCTAGAAAATTATAATTTCATTTTTGGTAACATCGACTTTGTAATTTCAAATTTAAATATTTCACACAACAGAGTGATTGAAAACTACAGGTGTTGAGCCTGGCAGCATTTGCATTTATAGCACATATCTAAATTCCTAAGTGGTGATAATTTCCATGTAAATGAAAGCATTTAGTATTGGAAAGACAGGAAAGAGTATAAATTTCTGTCCATGGCTGTGTTAAAAACCATCTCTGTGTAAACCTAGTCCAAATTTGAACATCCTCATATCAATAATTGCAAATGTTCTTGTGGATTCTCAGAAATTTACCAATGCTGTTACAAGGATAACATCTTCACAAAATAAAAACTGGCCTTTGGCTTAAATCTAACCCTTTAAGAGGTGGATAGTACCACCTAAAACAATTAATTTACTTTAAACAGCAATTTCAGCATTACCTTGATGACTATGTGTTCACTTAAAGTTCAGGCACCCTAAGTGTGGAACAGAACAGCCATTTTATACCAGTTTACTGTGACAGCTTGATATCCATCCATTTTCTAACCACTTCTTCCAATTCAGGGTCGCAGAGGCAGGGTACATCCAGGCTGGGACGCCATACCATTGCCATGTAGACATACACGCAAGCATAGACATGCACACACTCATACCAAGGCCAATTATTCCAGGAGACAATTAACCTACCAGTATGTCTCTGGACTGTGGGAGGAGACCGGAGCACCTGGACGCTAATATGGGGAGGGAGGGGAATGCACACTCCTTGAAGATAGCACCCCAGAAATTAACACTTCACACTTTTACTAAATCAGGGGAACGAACAGTAACTGTCAAAGGTGCAATGAAGAGCTAGTGTCCATCTCATGCCACTTAGCATCTAGGTTTTTAATTCTCTCCAACTTATCACTAAGCAGGCCCATTGGATCAGATGAGATCAGGTATAGCTGTGAGACACTGCTCTCTTCCAAGACCGCGCCCTTCCATGTTGCTCTTATGCCACACGTACAGAAGAGTGGGTGTTAACGGTCTATAACGTTTAATATGGATTTTATTATTATAATGGAGCTCTTACTGTCGTCCTAATGACAGGAAATAAAGTCGAGCAGGAAAACCATCTCAACGCAGCCTTGGCTGAAGCTACGCGTCTCTCTTTCGTAGTCTGAAGTGTAGGTGGTAAATAAATCGTGATATTGCGTATTCCAATATTTTCCGGGACCTGCGTTCCTCTTTAAGGTGGTGGCGGTGGTGCCTCCCGGAAAAAAAGAAAACCTGCACTATTCTTATAAGACACCGGCGAGGATAGAAAGCGTGAAACACTGAAAGAGGTAGTGTTGCCCTTTTAAGAAATGTTTTCTGGAAGGGTATTTTTTCCCCCTATAAGATACAATTAGTTACTGAAGAGTGAACAGAGGTAGTTTACTCAAGCTCTTTTTTTGAGTCCCTGCGTTGACAAACTCATGTAAAGGGTTTACGCAATCTTTATTACTGCACCTGAGATAATATGATGTCATAAACTGGGTTTAGATTCTCCCGCAATGCAAATAAGACCTTTCTCTGTTCCCTGCTTGTTTTCAACATACTTAATATTGACATAGGGAACATCACTTTTATTTACCACGTGGGTGCTGCTCGCAGTTACACCCTTACAATCCAGTTCGATGGGACAGCGGGTGTCGCAGAGCACTACAACCGTGAAGTCGATACCGATATTTATATTCACGTTTAATAATAAAAAAGTATTTTCTTGTGCGCTGTCGAGGGCTACAGCGGACAGGAAGGCGAACTCCCTTGCGCGGTTACCTCGACTGCAAAAACGCACAAGGCTAGCTGTTGCAGACGTTGCCCTTTTAAGAGCCACCGCTGCCTTTCCTGGCATGCCAGCTCCAGCCATGCACGCCCCCTGCAGGAGAACTCGGGGAATTTATTGGGGTTTCCCCCCCCCCTCTCTCTCTCTCCCGGCGCAGTCCCACATTGATCCTTCAGAACGAGGCTGGGCTGCCTTCGGAAGCTTGCGCTGCATTCCACTCCATTCATGCTGGGGAGCAGCAGCCACACTGTCGTGAGGAGCTGCGAGCTGTGACTTACCCAGAAGCGAGAGAAGGGTCCGCGAGTTTGGGAATGTAATTATGGCAAGGATATCCCACCCGAGGATCGCTTCAATCGGTGAGTAACAAGGTTCGGCTACAGTTCTCTCGCTCTTGAACCCGTTTCTTGACTTTGGAAATTGGGAGGTTTTCCCCCCCTTCCTTAAGACTTCCTTTTCCGCCGGTGTCCATCTCCCAACAGTTTCTAATCCCTAACGCGCTACATTATCCTGAGGGATTTACAAAAACAAGCGTGCTCTTTCCAGAGACAAAGCTGTGGGAGTGCGGTGCCCACTTTGATGCCGCCTTCGTGCATTAAAGTTGAACAGACGCCGTGGAGTTTTTATCATTCTTGCTCATCTTTTGAAACAAGCCCAGATAGACTTGTCAAAGTCGACTGTAGGCTGCGGCTCCTTGTTTTAAAGACAGTGGTAGTGTGGTATCCGTGGTGTGTTGGAACGGATTGCCGCTTTCATGTGTGTATTTTTTTTTAAATAAAATAAAATAAGCTGTTCTCCGGAATACCTCCAACAGTTTGAAAGAATTAGCTACAGAGCACAGAAATAGAAACCACCTAGGTAAACGTTCACTTTAAATGTTTCCTGGTCTCTTACGCTATTTTGTAAGCCTTCAGCTATTCCTGCTCAGTTATTATCTGGGCTTCAGTAAGGCACTGCGTTTAACGCGAATATGTACTTCTGCGAAAACCTACAGGCGAGGCGTGTGAAACATTGTTTTTTTCAAAAAAGCAAAACATCCTCAGTTTGTTTACGAGGCTGTAGCGAACCGGCACAATAAATAGATGTTAGAAAGATAAAAGTGGAGTTGGAAGCCGGCTTTAGAGAAGCGTTGCAAGAAAAAAAAAAGAGTCGGAATATTGCAAATGGGAACAGAAAGAAAAACGGGTTTGGCTTAGTAATTAAATGTTCTAAAGGAAGAGTAACATCGGTCTTGCTGCAGCACCGTAGTTGGCAGATTTAAGGGGTTTTTGGTTCACAAGGGGTGGGAATGCGAGTAAGCAAGCTTGTATGTGTGGATATATAAAAATGCACTTTCAGAGAGTCGGGGGATTTCTCACGGGACCTCTTGATGATGGCTTGCTAAAAATCGATGTCCTGTTAGTCCTAAAATGGTTAGGAACGGTAACGTTAGGCTTATTCCCAATGTGATCTGACCGCTTCGCACACGATCAGTAGTAGAAACCTCTCCCGTTTTTAAAGCGATGTAACTCCGTCAGCCTTTCCAGTTTCCTGAGGGTCGGCGGTCTTTGAAATACCGTATTGCAGTACGTGAAGGCTACAGACGTAGTGAATCTACATGTGGGTGCGTAGTACCGTTTAAGAGCTGCGAAATCGGACCTGCATCGGCACGCTACGTTCACAAAACGAAGGCTAGGATTCCGCTTTTTAAACTTGGGAGTAGCGCACAGATAGAAACACGCCTCGGTATTTAATTCCTTGCATGTAGCCCGTGTTGCGGTGTCTTGAATTTGTGTGTGGACCACTGAATAAGTGGCTTAACACGCTGCTTTGGAAGCAATTCCGTAAACTAAAAGCAAGAGACCATTATCCAAAGTAGCTCGCTGTATTGTGTTGAGCACGGCTAATGTGTATTCAAATATATTTACAGGCAAATAAGTGGGGCGTATTCAATGGATTCAATACTGAAATGCATGATGGAATCTTCGTTTTCGGGGGATTTTCGAGCTGGACGTGAAAACGTCCAGTGCAGTTACCATTTGATCCAGAAGCAAACTTGTTTTTTTTCGGTTTTCGCAAGGACAGAATGGTTGTTATACTGAAAGCGTTTTCTAAGCCTCTTATTATTTGTCTGGGGGTTTTGGGGGGGTATTGCGAATTGCATGTCTTGGAAATGTGCGGAAAAGTTCTAAAGTCTTGCAAAAGGACACATACTTACCCAGCCAACCTCAATACTCGTGTACAGACGAGTTATAAACCAACCTTAACGTTTCGGGTAAAACGAAAGGGCACCGCGGTTAATTGACAGGTTGTACACTCGAATTGCAAGATTTCTGTCAGGTTAATTTGGTTAAAGAGCATAGACGCGCTACCCAGCAGATCCGTCTCCAAGATAAGGCTTCTGGGGAGCCGGGCGAGCTAAATACGTTAGGGCGGTTTGTCTGCAGTCTAAGCCTGACACAAGCAGGTTTTTTTTGCAACTTGCATGATGATCCCTCTGATAAGTTTGTAACCCTTACCGTGGGGGGGGGAACCCAACAATAATAATGTTTGCATTGACAAAAAAGAGCGGTTGATCCACTTTCAACTCGTAAATCATATACGGGGTGAAGATGTAGGATTTTTAGGTATAGCATCCCGTTGGCCCTTATTGTTCGCTGTATAACCTTTGTATTATGTTGAACACGGGACACCTTGGAACTGTGTGAGACCTAAAAGCCCGCTGCTTAATCCCCATGCGTTTTTTAATGCACTGTTACTCGGGTCTAAGGGTAGTGAACTATATAGGCTTGCCGAGGGAGTTTTTTTGTGGGACAGAAGAGAGCAGCTTAATGGTACAACAAGCGCGGAGCTCTGTGTCAGTGTGTGTTTGACGTGCTGTCAAATGTGTGAAACACGTTTTAACGATTTCGGAACTTGTTTGCGTTACAATGACCATCGCATCTGCACGTAAACGATTTAAAGAACACAGCGCTGCGTTTTTTTTGTGTTTAAAATCATCGATGGATACAGTAACACTGTCCTACGGTCTTGTGGCCGGTGGGTCTACTGCCAAGATTTCTTACTCCTCGCACACACATGCAAGCTGAAAGCCAGCGCACACCCCGTTTCGCAGCTTTCCGTATTTGTGAGGGTATGTGCTGCTGAATTTGAAAAGGGTCAAATGACAGCTACTGTAACTCAAAGTTGATAATTGTAGAATACGTGTAAGGGGAGTGCATTTGTTAAACCCCTTTTTGTCTGCACAGAAATAACTGCGCGGCCACGTTACTAAACAGATTTTATAAGAGCGAAAACTAGTTTCCTTCTTCTGTTCAGTCAGCTTCGGTTAAGTAATGGCTGAAAAAAAAACATTTTATAATGGTCAAATAGATACAGTACTAGCTTTCATTGGTAATCTTCACGTAACTTTAGTATTAAGGATAGTATCATTTCCAACACCTTTTATATTGAAGCCTTACATTGAGTTCTCATCCGTTTTTAAACAAAAATGTGTCGAGATTGTTCTGAATGATCAAGTCAGTAGTCCTGTTGAAATCATTCACCGGTACGGTTTTATATCTTTTCATTTAAGAGGGTAGGCGAGAAATTGCAGTTTTAAAGTCTTTACGTGCCGTGTACACCAAAACGGCAACATTTGCCTATAAAATCCCTTTAAATCTCGATTTTCTTGAAAGTAAAATGCCTTTAATCAGACTAGAGGACGATATAGTGCTAGGACTAAAGTTGCTGCGTTTCGTAACACAGGTGTTCAAGAACAGAAAGACAGAAATGTGAGACGACATGAGTACCGGAGGTATTATAATTAGGTGAATTTCATACCACTCGAGTTTAAATGCCATTCTGGTATTTCTGAATAGTAGGTCATTTTCTCCACACGTACCTCGTTAGAAGAAACAGCTTCGTTTTTATCCATTACTGTAGCGCAGTGTAAAAATGTGATTTGCCTTATTTTTTTTTGCAGGACGCCCACTATTGCAGAGGTGGTGGGCGTCTGAAAACCTTTGCTAAGCTTGGCGTTTCAGGAATATCTGGGATTGGCAGGCATTTTTAACCAGCTTGCTTTTAAGTACTTCATCCCTTGGAGTTTCCCCCTTTTCTTCATTATGGGCTTGCCACTGGATGGTCCGTTTTGTCAAGACCAGATGTCATATTTTCAAGGCTATGCCTTCCACACTGCCTTTGTCTTGGTTTCTCTTCAAATGGAAAGTAGGCTTGTCCACAAATGAAGGCTCTGTATAACTCTGATCCATACGAAGCATGGAAAATGCAAAAGGCAGTAAATGTTTATCAGAATAGTACTTTACTTTCACTAGTTAAGGTATAACTGTAAACATTCATTTGGAAACATAAAACACCCAGGACACCAGGTATTATATGTGTACTGTCTCGCTTTGCTTAGAGAATATTTGGAGGCCCATGTGGTTTAGAATTCATGCTGCCTGTTCCGTTTTAAAAATGCAGATGGAATTCCCTGGGGTTTCACATTGGCCTGAGGCTAAGAAGCACTCAAGGAGGCTGATATTAAAATGTTCTAAAGGTGTTTAAAGAGTTTTAAGATCTAACATTTGAAACTGAACATACCTACTTTAGTCCTCCTAAGGACACAGAAACAGCTGTTTCTGAACTATATTGTCAGCTGAAACTATCCCTTGATCTGAATCCCTTAATAAAATAGCTCTGAATTCAGGTACAGCCGACTTCCTCATGCAGAATACAACTAGAATTTGTATCACAGGCTGGAATGACACTGTCAGAGTCCTGTTTGGTGGAAATATACATAATGACTGTAACCCCACTGTAATGTATCCAGAGTCTTTGATCCAGAGCACATTTGACATAGCTACTCTGTCTCATGGACCACATTTCTATGTAGATATTCTGTTACTGCAGGTGTGCTATTGTAGTGGTCACATTTAGAAGTTTCTGAACTTTGAATTTCAAAGAAAGATGCAGTATAAACTTTATTATAAAATTAATTTTAAAATATCATAACATGTTTCCTCCCTTTTTAATCTCATATATAATGACTCCTGACAGTGAGACTGACAGTGAGACTCTGTTAAAACCAAAAGCCTTGGAAACACAAATTCAAATTGTCCATTGCGCCTTCCTGGTTTTGAATTGAAAGTGCTCACATTTGTGGACATTTCCTAAAAAAATCAAGCCTTAAGTAAAGCAAATAAGTTTACAAGGCTCTCTGTAACTTTTCATGTTTCATAGCTATTTTTATTTATTTAAACTCAAATTTAAAGCAAAGAAACAGGCTGTACTGAATGACAGATGCTTTTATGTGCAGTGTTTTGAAGCAGGCACCACTTAAAAGGCCTTAAAGATCACGGAAAAAATGAAAAAAGTTTTCTTGCAAATTGAAAATGCT